ACAATATGACAAGTGCCTTGAAAGGGACAGTACAAGAGAAATAACAATGAAGAAACTGTACAAAACAAAGGAGGTAATACTGGGTCAGAATATTCATACAGGGAAGGATGTTGAATAGAAAAACATCCAATCATCTTCCCAGGCCACCAAAATTTTGGGAAGGAACAAGTGGTCAATGAAGACATTTAACCCGTCCCTATGATTAATAGTGCAGGACTTGGCCAAAAAAATAAAGAGAAAGAAAAAAGAGTGATAGCTCTTAGAAGCTAGGATGGTAAGAAATATGTATGATTTCAAAAAAAAAAGGTTGAACAACTCTAAACACCAAGCTTTTTCTCCCAGAGCAATAAAGTCCGAGATTGGAGATCAAAAAGAATGGAAGAAAGGAGTGGAGAGGAGTCAGAAAGGTAGCAATGATAGGACTCCTATGATGGGAGCAAATCCACTGAAAACTATCCACATGATGGACAGAACACTCTATGGAAAGGGTACAGGCCTAGGTAAGGGAGTCAATATGCCATCAAGACCTAAACTCCTGAGACATGGTTAACTGATAACAGAATGTAGTGGTCTTGGGTCCAAAAGAGACTCTAGGGCCAGAAGAAAAGAAAATCAGATGTTCGACCATTGTGGATGAACTGAAGGAAGCAAAAAGTGGGCAGACAAATTAGGATGTGAAGAAAATATCAGAAACATCAAACTGGATCATTCACTAAACAGGGAGAGTATTCACTGTAAAGTGAGAAAACTGTTCAATGGAAACTGAATAAAAACCAAAGTTGGGTCAAGTGGGATAAGCTGATTACTAGTTGTCAACTTCCCATCTTTATGAGAACAACAAACATATGGGAGTAAAAACCCCAGAGTGGGGTTCAAGAATTGTCCCATGGTTTTTGAAACAGGTAAGTTAGAGGGTATAAGGAGAGGAAATACTCCTGAAAAAGCACCTGAGTAACTCTATGGGCTGTAACAAAGGGAATCACAGGTGTACAATGTGAGAAAGCAGAGCTCCCACCCAGAGCCGAGGATAGCTCCAGAAACAAATCGCCACCAAGACCTGCAATGGCTAACCTAAAAAGCAAGGGGACCTTTGGATAGTAACAAGAGGACAAAGAATAGGAGAGGAAGAAACTCCCAAGAGGCCATATATGATGAGAAACCTCAGGTCCCAAAGGAAAATAAAGCGAACAGAGATGACTGCATCAGCTCCATATGCCAAACTACAACAAATATCTGCAAAAAAAATTACATCACAAAGAAAGAGTGTGTGAGACAGAGATCCTGGAGAGGAAAGTAAGGCATGTAATTGTGAAAAAGTAAGACAACCTCACAAAATACATCCCAAAAGCAAAGAAACCAAGTTAATTGGGTCAAAATGTAATAAAATCGAGGGCTAGGGGGAAAACAAGTATGTACTAGTTGCCCAAGTCAGAATTGTGGTGGAAAACGTCTAAAAGTAGGTGAAGCATGATATATAGAGAAGTTGAGCAAGCAAGAGATGAAGAAATAGAGAAAGAAAACACATCCCAGAAGCAAAGAAACCAAGTTAATTGGGACAAAATGTAATAAATATTTAGGGCTAGGGGAAAAACAAGTATGCACTAGTTTCCCCAGTCAGAATTGTGGTGGAAAGCCTCAAAAAGTAGGTGAAGCATGATAAATAGAGAAGTTGAGTTAGCAAGAGATGAAGACAAGTAGATGGAGAGATAGAGAACGAAATAATAGATGATCCTCATATTGAAAGAGATTCAAGTGACAGAGGCTCATGAAACATGGGAGCCTAAGGTTCAGCAAAAAATAACTGGAGAATGTGCCTCTTTGATGAGAAACACAAGTCATCACCACAGAATTGTCTGAGTGAAGCCTCACAATTTACCCCTTAATAAGCCCAGATCATGAGACATTGCCCACTGAAGAGCAAGAAAGACGAAAACATTATATAGGGAATCCTCTTCATCATTGCATAGACCCTGAAATTTCTGACTGTTGATATACGCACCCCATCCCAAGGCATTCATGACGAGATGGAACTCTGGAGGAGGTGGCAGTAGAAGAACCAATATTTTAGTAGTGTCTCAACTTAACAACCCCTTGAGATCAAAGAATGATCTCGACTAAGGAAATTGGGGAAACCAGAAAATTGATGTTTATGATCTCTTGGTCACATAAAGACCAATAAAAGGACAGCTTGTGTTCTCGGCCCAAAGGCATGAGGGATTTCAGTGATGCCAAAATTCTCAGAAGAGAAAGAGCCATCCGTGCAGCAGAAGAAAGAGAGGTAAGAGTGAGGATTCCTATTCTATAGCATTGAGCTGGATGAGAGTCAGCTGAGCCCAACTGAGAGACGAGGCGAAAATAAAAAATACCCAGGCTGATGACATATTGCTTTGGAGAAAAAAAAAACAGATGTCTCAGTCTTGAAAGGAAACCTGCCTTGGTTGTTTCTGAAAGTAGAATCAGTCTTCCATGCAATGGTGTGTGTGCGCAGTACGATGGAATGAAGGGGATGAGAAAAAACATGTATGATACGGCAGAACCCTTGTGAAGCCAATGTGAGTCTGAAGGTAAAAACCCAGAATTGCAGTACCTGAACCTTGTGCACCACAAACACAGAGACTTGTGGGACTCCACCACTAAGGCAAAGTGCAAATAGGAGCCAACTACAGCCAAGTTGGACATCTACAATTCAGGAAAAAAATCAACACAGATTGAGTAATGAGTAACTTGTGAACCTTGGAGAACATAGGCATTGATAAAGACAAGGAAGACTGATGACTGGTCACCAGTCTCCTGTCTGCATAAGCCCAACAACTGACAGGAATAAAAACTCATAAGAACAAGCCTGACTCTCTCACTATCCCCAGACCAACCAAACTCAATTAACCCTAGAAGTAAGTTACAAATGCTGATGAACTGCGGGAGATGGAAACCCTACAAGTTGGATGGATAAAAGTACGAATGATGTGTACTGAATGACCAATTGTGACTCATGGACCTGCAGTGCTCCTATCCCTGAGTTACCACACATTCAGAAATTCTTGAAACTGAGCCCCCACATCCCCTGAAGGTATACAGTAATCACCAATGCAGCTGGTGATCCAACTAAGCAATAGAAACCTCGGATATAGACAGAATCTATTCTGAGTACCAATATACCGAGGTGCTGATGTCAGGACTCCCAAAGAGGAGTAGAACTATGACCCCCTGTAAAACCCAATGAAATTTGAGACTCCAACAACAACCAGGAGGAATGTAGAAGCTGAAAATTGAACCAATCATGAATGCTAACAAAGGATCTAGCTTGACATCAATCAACTGGTGATCCTGAGTCTTCTAACAAAGCTAAGTGAAAGGATATAAAATGTTGAATTTGAGTTGTAAATTGTTAGACTTACTCCTTCCCATCAGGGGACATAAACCTATATAGGTGAACTACAAGCTCCGCATTAGAACCCTGAAATTCGAGGAGCAGATGTATTATTTGAGAGTAGGAAAAATGCCTCCACCTGGTGGTGGTAGGCTAAATCTCAAAGTTCCAACAATGTGTCGGGTAAGGTATAACTGTTCCTTCTTGTAACTAAGAAATAAATCTTCTCAGCATGAAAACTAAAAATTCACTCCCAGACCTTTCAGCCATCACATACTCGAAGAATCAAAAGAAGAAAAAAAACAAATCAAAGGCTGCTTATTTCAAAGTGGCCTCCTTTTTGTTTTTCATAGGCCATATAAAAACTGTGTTGATTGCCACTGATTGGAACAGCATTTTTTTAGGTAAAGTGTTTTTGTTAGGGCAAAGCAACTTCTAGCCATTTACCGCGTCCATCCTAGCATATTGAACCCCAGGCCACAGCACTGCAAGTCCATAAACTTAACACTGTCCCACAAGGGGGCTGGAAATCTAACAGACTAAATGCAGGCACAGGAAAAAAGCAAATGTAAGGTCTCTCCCAAATGTCGAGTATTACCCTCAATTACAGCCTCAGAGCCCCCTGGAGGACCACCACAGATCCAAATATGTCTCCATTTCACAACGATTAAAATCTTTGACAGTCTCAAACCAGAAAATCAACTAGATAACACGATAACATTCATAGTATCTCTGACTGATTGTAATATTGAGAAGCCTGTTAGTGACGCTTTGTTGAGAAAAATGATAAAATTATCTGAATGAGGTGCTTATATTTGTGTGGATATATATATATAGTACAAGTATAGAGAGTGCATTGACATATTACAAGACAAATACTGCCAAGGGCATTTAAGTGGGGTATAAAAGACTGAAGCATGTGAGAAAAAATCAGACCAATGCTTAGATGGACAAAGAAGAAACCCTGGTGATCAAGTAATAGCTATGAGTGTCAGTGGAGGTAAGTATGTTTTGGAAATTCATGGAGCTGGAGATCAAATCTACGTCATCAGCACAACTATATATGGAAATGATGGCTGTTGCATTAGTAAAACAATAACAATAAAGTATCTTTTTCCACATTAATATGTGTAGTTTATTAAGAGTTATGACTGAACAAGTATCAGCCAATGACCATTCCATGTGGTGCCAACAAATTAAGTAGTAGTTGGTCACTGTGACCAGAAGTGGTTTTTTCCTAATGGAAAGGCCAAAATGTGTATTTTAGAGTTCTTTGTAAATATTACAGTTAGAAATTATATAGATGCTGATACATTTAATATACATACCAAGTTTTATTTAACAAGGATAAATAAATATCCCTTTACTAAAAGTACTGTAAAGAAGAAAATATTGTGTATCTGTTGAACAAATAAAAGAATATTTTAGGGGTCACAGATACACGTGCATTAAAAAATAAAATTCTGGTACCTAATCATAATTATACTGTTAATTGGATGGTACACCTTTCTTAAACTTTTAAAAAATGAAATAAAAAATAAGTACTTCAATATAAGCATAAATATTACAATAAAGACAATAAAACTGTACCATTAAAGTTTATGTACACCTTTGAAATACTTGTTTGACTTACCCTTTTTTTTTATTGCTGGTACTGAGCTTTGTATTGCCTGAGAAGAATGTGTTACAGGTGATGAGGATGGGTTAAGGGTAGTGCTGTTTTGAAAAGTGGCCATTGCCACAGTTTTTCGTTTATGAATACATAATTTAGTAGCATCATTCCAACAAGAGTCAGTAAGAGCCCAAGGTTTTGACTGTACAGCTAGATTGAAGTTAAAAACCTTAGTTGGAACAACAGGACACTCTAGCCCACACTTACAAGTTCCATCAGTTTGAAGGTACTTAACAACATCAGACACAGAAGTCAACTGGCAATCACTGGGGCTGAAAAAATAAAGTCACTGTAAAATTTATCAATTAATTTTGAATTTATGAGTTAGTATAGTACACTGTATAAAAATAATAAACTTTAATATTAACATGTTTCCTGTAATATAACTTACTGGCATAATATCAAATTGAACCTTTTATTACTTTTTAGTAAAATAGATATAACATAATGCAGTGTGTACAAAAATGCAATAAAAAGTAAATTCTTCCATTCCACCTAAAAGCTACTATTTCTAGTCCTCAGGTAAAAGTCTTGTCTTTTCACATTTAAAAAAATGTTCAGTTTTAGGTGGCTTTCCCTGGAATAATGCCCAATGTATTTGACAAATTATTTCTATTTTACTTTAGCATTTATCTAAATCATAATGTATATCAAAATAAGATGTCCTAGTTATTCCATCACTTTAAGAAGGTGTTCTGAGATGTACATCAACAACCAGGATGAATTCCATCAACATAATGAGTTGAACAACTTCCCTCAATCTCATACTTCTACCCTGATTCAATCTGATTTGCATGCTGTTTGTTGAATGGCATTGATGAACTGATCATGAACTAGTGAAATAATGATGCATTGAGTAGTTGTTCTACTTTTTTTTGAGGCAGTTAGCATAATCCTTTTTTTTTTGTGCTGTGGGGTTCCTTTTCTTCTTGTGACTTATCTCCTCCTGCTTTGGCTTGTTGGTTTAAACAACTCATTTGACTTGTTTATTCCTCTGTGTGAAATGACTTTATCATCTGTTTCAAATCACCTTTCATCCAGTTCATCATCTCATGGCTTCTCTTGCTTTTGGTCATTAGTGTCTCCTCAATGAAATATTGCAGGCGGGGATGTGGATGATCCAAGACTCTTTTGTGTTGCAACATTGCAGTTTCTCAGACTTTTGTCTCCCTCCAGTTACCATTCTCTAATCTTCCCAGAGTATAAAAGAGGTGAGTTTTTGTTTATTTTTTCTTTGAGCTTCTACAAAAAAATGATGTGTTTGTACATATATATATGATTGTTTGTGACTGAGACAGTGGAGCCCACCATGGTGTTGCCTCATAGGGAATGCTTTTCTGTCATGAAATCTTCATCAAGTAGGGGATAACAAAGTGTTAAGCCCACCTGCCCCAACTCAGTGGCCATGTTGGGATGGGGTTTTTCATAAAGCTATTTTGGAAGTTTATATTATTTATATATATGTAGGAATCCTACATTAATAAGGTGGAGGGGCCAGTGAGGGAATTATCCATACAGAAAGCATCTGTGTAGATCATGGGTGTTTCAATAGAAGATTGGCACCCTAGTGGTGGAACTGCACTACATCCAGAACATGTATGCTCTTCATCCAGAACTTAGTTCCTGTATCAAGGGTGGAATGGTACATGAGTTATCATCCCTATAAGCCAGCCCAAACCAAACAGATAAATACCATGTTAGTGGCTAGGGCAATTGGACCACAATGTAATATATATACACACTATTGATCGAATTCCAGCCTGTAGCCATAGAGTGATGTGTTCCAAACCACAAGAATCACAACTAGAAAGTAAGCAACACAGAAGTGGACAAACCTTCTCCTCCACCTGAAGAAATCCGAAAGGCAACATCCCAGGCTCAGAATTACAGGATCATGTATGCTTTATTCAACCAAAGAAAACAGAACTCATCTGATCTGAAATTATGAACATTCGTCCTCACTCCCCAACTGTGTGGGCAAGGTACATTCCACTTGCCCCTGAAATTATGGGAAGGACATAGAACAACTAAACCAAGGACCAGAATGGGACCACTCCATGTTTCGATTTATGACGAGGTAGTAGACCGTCTTCCATGAATAATGTACTGAATCTATATTGATCAAAAAAGAAAGGCCATGAACACCCCAACCAGATAGCTGAGCACTAAATCTGAACCATTATTAACAGTAGGCTGGTGCCACGCCTACCGATGTCTGGGAAAAACATACAGGGATCTGGGTAGGAGGGACCACAACTTTGCTCTCTTTTCCAAGAGTGGAGGAATTCACTCTAACACTCTGGAGGAAAAGTCTCTGTCCACCACCTCAGTGACTAGAAACCAGGTGTGGTAAGGACTCCCTAGCTTCACTAGTAGAATCTGAGGGGTAATGATCATTATGGAGCCCTGAGAAACAGTGCTTTGAAAACAGTGCAATAGGTGAACCAAGTTCCCTACATTTTTAAAAGCAAACCAACCTCGATTTACTCAATCAAAAGATCGGCAGGGACAGGTAAGATCCTGTCATGCTTAACTCATGATAGTCCACAAGTGCCAGTCCATCACAGAACAGTAATACCACCTGGTCAGCTCCTATGTGGTCTTAAAGAGCACTGCATTTCTAGAGAGCCGGTTGCAACCTGTATTTTGAATTAGTGGTTGCTAATGCAGAATTGGTTTGATAAAAGCACACCTGTCTGGTCAACACTCGCAATAGAGTGGGATCCTGTGAAAACAAGGTAAGGGTCCCTGAAAGGTAGAAATCAAAATACTCACCCTTCCGAATAATCTAGAACAAATGGTTAAGTCAGCTACAAGGGGTAGGTAAAACCCTCAGATGAAGAGACTGCCATATCATACAAATAAAGTCCATACAATGACCTCTAGCAGGTAATTCGACTGGGCTGCTAAGGACATAGAAAAGTAACAAATCTGATTAGATGTGACTCAGAGAAGATTCCTCACCTTCAAAGAGAGCACAGAATACAAATCATTGTCTAGTATCTCTAAATGTATTATTACAGGCGACAAAACCTTCAATACCCTTACTGAACAAGACCAAAATTGAAATCTGATTGTACATAGAGAAACAGTGATCAGATTAATCAGAGAAAAGGATTGAACTCTGTCCTGTCTGACAGCATGTTGGGAGGAAAGAATGGGCTGAGGACGTAAAGAGAATGAGAAAGTCATCTGTGGACAAACAGTGCAAATCACTCTGACTGGTGATGTCTGTAGGTTAGCAGCCATGAAAAATAAATCAGCAGGTAAAAGGGACACATGGCATATAAGTGTCAGGTTAGAAACAGGTGTTGTGAAAGAACACGTAATGTAACCTTTATATTCCTGGTAGGTAACTTGAATGGTCATTTGAGACCAAGTACCAAAAGCAATATGTAGTCACAATAATCAAACAGTAGTTGATAAGGCTGCCTTAAACAAGCCAACTGTGGAAAATGCAAAAACCTCTGTCAAAAAGCCAGGTCAAAAAACAAGTTGCACCACTGATTGAAATGGGTTCAACTTCCTGTCAATACAACATTGCTGATATGCATGTCATTACTATTGATAAATGAGTCATTTGAAACAAGCAAAAACTGAAACAAATACATAGCAACCTTAGAAAATAAACCCTGATGCTATGTAAAAGACAATATAACCTCTATGCCAGAAGCTTGAACTTCTGAATAGTCAGATGTACCATATCAGATCATGATTGCCTCCATAGAGAGAGACTAAAAAGTGGAAGAGTTGGACACACCTGGGTGTAGCAGCCAATCTGGTGCTATTAACACAACCTGACAATGGGTTGAAGCAAATCATATTTAGTGCTCTGGGTAACATATGAAGTAGAGAGAAGGCTTACAGTTGTAATCTCATCCTGTCCTGACCGAATACATGTATTGCCAAAGCCTGAAGATGAGGTACTGGAGACCAAATTGCCAGTAGTTGGGTGATCCAATGATAGGCCAACCCACCAATTAGAGTTGCAATATGAGAGCCAGTCCAACAGAACCTGTTTTGATTGAGACAATTGTCTGCTACCAGAGGCATAGTCCGTGGAACATGGCAAGCAAGAAGTGCGATAAGATAGGAATGGTCCCAAGAAGGAGGTCCAAAATTCAAAAACAAGGAGCTCTAGACCACGTGCCTCCTTGATGAAAAACACTAGACATCACAACAGAATTGTCAGATAGAAGCCTCACAATTTACCCCTTAATAAACCAAGATCATGAGACATTGCACATTGAAGAGCAAGAAGGATGAAAAAATTATATAGAGAATCCTCTTTATCCTTGCATAGACCCTGAAATTTCTGACTGTTGGTATATGCACTCCGTCCCAAGGCATTCATGATGAAATGGAACTTTGGAGGAGGTGACAGTAGAGAAACTCGTATCGTATTAGTGTATCAACTTAACAACCCCTCAAGATCAAAGAATGATCTTAACTAAGAAAACTGAGGAAACCAGTGAATCTATGTTTATGATCTCTTGGTCACATAAAGACCAATAAAAGGATAGCTTGTGTTCTCGACCCAAAGGCATGAGGGATTTGAGTGATGCCAACATTCTCAGAAGAGAAAGAACCTTCCGTGCAGCAGGAGAAGGAGAGGTGTGTAAAAGTGAGGCTTCCCATTCTATAGTGTTGAGCCAGATGAGAGTTAGCTAAGCCTAAATGAGAGACAAGATGAAAAATAAAAACTACCCAGACTGATGACATATTGAATTTGAGTGAAAACAGATGTCTCAGTCCTGCAAAAGAAGCCTACCTTGGTTGTTTCTGAAAGTAGAATCAGCCATCCATGGAATGGTGCATGCACAGTATGTTGGAGTGAAAGGGATGAGAAAAAACTTGTATAATATGGCATAACCCATCTGAAGTCAATGTAACTCTGAAGGTATAAACCTGGAACTGCAGTACTTGACCCTTGTGCATAACAAATGCTGATAGTGGTGGGACTCTACTGCTATGGTAAAGTGCAGATAGGAGCCAACTACAACCAACTACGATCCCAGTAGAAAATCATCACAGTTTGAGACAGATCGACGACTGGACACCAATCTCCTATCTGTATAGGCCCAACAACTGCCAGGAAAAAACTCTGAAGAACAAGTATGATTCTCTTACTACTTCAAGACCAACCAAATTCAGAAGAATAAGTACTAAATCCAAATGAACTGCGGGAGACAGAAACCCTACAGGTTGGGTGGATAATAGTGGCAAATATGTGAGCTGAACAACTAATTGTGACACAAGGACCTGCAGTGCT